GATGGCCACCATCACCCTTGTTCCTTCACCTCCAACATTCACCATCTCCCTTCTCCCTTCTGCAGATCTGCAACGACCACCATCACCCCTGTTCCTTCACCTCCGACCTTCACCATCTTCTTGCTAGCTAATCGTCACGCTCATCTCACCAATCACCAAGAAGATGATATTGATCTAGCCGCAAGCCCCTTGAGACTCTGACCTTGACATCTTCTTGCGTCTCATCATCATCACTGCCTCCACCTTCATCACCAGTAAGCAGAGGGGTTCGACAACCACCAGAAAGGGAAGATCTCTCTTCTTCAAAAAAATCTGAAGTGGTTGTCAACACTGTCGGTATGCCAGAATGCCGACCAGAATACCGAGATTTGATCGAAATGAGCGAAATTTGACCAAAACGAAATTAAGCTTTATACCATTTCGGTGCAATGAAAAATCTAGTACGTACCGACCATACCGGCTGGTACAAAACGGAATTAACTTCTTTGCTTTGTACTCACTCTGCGCATTGCTTTTCCTATTTTCTTTAGGTCATTATTCTGTTTTTTACAAAAAGTCAAAAACGCAGAAAATATAATTGATTATTTTAAATAAGTAGAGTAATAAAAACTAGGGATTTTTCTTCAAATTATTGGGGGAACAAGGTACGTTTATGTTCACCGACAGAAGTGTTAAAAGTTACTAATATTTATTTTTTTTATAATTAATGTTTAAAAATATTAATTTATTAAATGATTATAATTTATTAATTAATAAATATTAATTATTAATTAATAGTTATAATTATGAAATATATTTATTAATTAAATTAAACAAAATTAATATTTTCAAAGACAATATTTTACATTTTTAGTGAATTTAACATTTTACTTTGTGGGCATTACATTGCCCGGACGGTATGAATCGATTTAAACAGCTACATTTAATAATATATTATTAAATTATTATCAACAGATTGCAATTCAGCAGATTAATTTGCTGCTCTTTATTGATTTGTTTTGGCCTACCCAGTTTGGTTATTATAAGTTTCCAATTACTTTAATTCCTTCCTCTAAATCTACAAGTAATATATAATTCCTTCTATTATGTTCACTTTGAGGTATAAAAAAAAATACAAAATATACAAGCGAGCTTTATAGATACAAATCACCAGCATATCAATGTCTCCTTACAATCCACTTCTTCACCTCAAATTAGATTATCAGGATAAAAATAGATAAAATGCAAATGAAAATAATTAATGAATTCTGATATATGTTAGTTCTTTACACTTAAAAAGACATCATTCAATGAATGATAGATTTTTAAACTAAATGCTTCATTTGTTTATTTTTAGTAAATTTAATTTAATTTTTTAATTTTTTTATATAAAATCAAAAATCTCATTTAAGAACTTTTTTCTTGTATTTTTATGAACAACACTTAATATTTAATATTTAATATAATTACAAAATTACCCATTAAAACTCAATTTCATTTAATTCAATTACATCATAATTTATAATATTTTATTTAAATTTAACATTTCATTTCTATGAAAATTCTATCAAAAATTAAAAATTTATTCTCTCCTTATGAGCTGCTCCCTACAAGACCTAAAGCAACACCCACCATATAAAATCTTAAAAACTTAAATTATTATGAAGTAGTAAATGTTGTTTATTTTAATAATTATATATCATATAATATCTTTAAAATTTTAATTAATAATTAATAAATTTTAATATATGTAATTTACAATACTTTTATAAAATAATAACTAAATATTAAAATAATTTCTAAATATAACTACAATATAATATAAAACAATTTAATACAGTTACTATTATATTACCTCAGTACTGTCGCCCAACCGCAGTCTAAAATTGATGCATCTACCCTTCACCCTCTGCTCTGCATGTTCTGCCCGTATCTCGTAAACTCCGAGTCTCCAACCATGTAAGTATCCATATTTTGACTTGATATTATTTTCGGGTGGTTTTATATAGAGAGGAGTGCTAGGGGCACTCGCCTTCTGCACTCTCCGGCCAACACTTTCACTTTTATTGGGCGACGTTATTCTAGTTCTGAAGAGGTTGCACTTCAAAGCTTAAAAACAAGCCTACGTGGCCCAATGAGAGGGGAAGTGTTGGCCGGAGAGTGCAAGAGGCGAGTGCCCCTAGCACTCCTCTTTATATAGAAATTGGATTTTGGGTTTGGGGTATGTATGGCTCATTGAAATTGAGCCTCCAAGTAAACTAACTAAATCGTGGCTAATGCTTGTGTTTGGAACATTTATATTTCTTTATTCATTTATTTTTGTTTTTTTGGTATATTGAAATTTCTCAACATCT